TTTATATTTGTCAAAAGGTAAACATTCTTTTATTTCAATTTCCAATAAGTAAACAAGGTAATTTCTCCAGAATTAAGGGATTTTATTTATATATGAGTCTCTGAATTTGGGGTTAGGGGAAAACTTGGAACTTATGCCTGCTAAAGAACAATATCAAAAGCATATTTTTTCTATTGGTACTGCTGTTATTTTAACTTAATAAAATCTAAACATAATTGTTCTTGAGAATTTACAACAAAAATATTAAACACTATTTATTAGATTGTTTATTTACAAGAATAATTTTATATTTACAACATTCTAAAACTAATACAATAAAAAAAATAATGCAATGCAATTTACCAATTTATGAAGAAATAAATATGAAAACGATTTTTAATTCATAAATTTATAAACATTTACTAAATTATTAAAATATGTATCGCAACTATAAAGAAATCCTTATTATTTACCATTTTATAGTTTGAAATGATGGACAATTACCCCATGTGTTCTTGAGAACATCTGAGTATGAATTTCTGGGTATTATAAACCTAATGTATTCAGCAATCATTTTTACCAGTGCTCATATTGCAATTTTTTACTGTTATCATATCATGTTTTTAGCAGAGCTCATATTCCAACTTTTTGTTGTTATCATCGCTTTTCTCTGGCATTCACCAATCATTCCAATAAAAAATATAAATAAATAGTTTAAATTTTATTGTAAATTCTCAAGAACAAAATAAATGTATAAATTCACTTTTATATGTTAAGGTTTTATCACAATTCTAATCATTGCTTTTTAAAACAATAAACATTGCTGAGGATTGACGGTAGTTAAAATAATAACAGTGTCAATGGAAAAATTGTTCTTTTGACACTCTGTTTTTTTGCAGGCATGAAAGTCCAAGTATGCTGCATATATGTGTTATGTATTCAATCATGTTTATAGTTGAGTCAAGTGATAAAAACTAGTTTGGATATATTCAAATCAAAAGGTACATATTTGTCATGTTTCTTATTGAGTCAAGTGATAAACACTGATTAGGTTATACTTGAGTCTGAAGGTAAAGATTGGTCATGTTTATACTTGAGTCAAGAGCTAAAAACTAGTAGCTACATATTGGTCATGTTTATATTTGAGTCAAATGTTAAACACTGGCCAGGTTGTACTGAAATCAAAAGGTAATCATTGATTAGGTTTAGATTTGAGTTAAAAAGTAAACATTGGTCAGTTTTATACTTTAGTCAATAAATGGACAATGATCTGGTTTATAAGTAAGTCAAAAGGTAAAGATTTGGCTTCAAAAGCTGAACTCATTTTATGTGGGCTTGTATCTCTCTGCAGGGGAGGCAATCACTATTTCCTAAGCCCTGCTGACAGACAATTCTTCATTAAAGTTTTTTGGACAAGGCATTAATTCATCTCTTCTCTCTAATCCAGCTATATGTTAGATAGCAGGGTAAACTGGACTCTCTAGCCTTGAGTTACACCCAGACAAGAAGAAGGAAATTAATTCAAAACCATAGACAAACCAACAGGAAGCCATTCCATTATCTTTCCCAAAAATGACATGAAAATTCAAAGAAAATAAAGAAAATGAATCTAAGGAGAATCATGAACCCATATGTCCTAAAGTAACATGGTATTAGATAAATAAATTGCAGATCCAGTCTCTCATGTTTCTGTATGCAAAAATAATCTATAACCAATTTATTTTCCCAATATGTTTTCCTGTACAATTATTCGGTGTGAATTATCATTGAAATGTTCCCCAGTACATAAAGAGTTGTTTTAATGATTTAGACTCTATTATTTAAAATTCAGTGCCAAAAATGAATGGCTTTATCATTTTCCAGATCATGACCTATTTGAAAAACAATGTTTCTAAAGGACAATGATTCCAATAAAAAAAAGTAAATGCTTTGTATAAAAGTCTGCACTCACAACAATTCAATATAATTCAATTGTTCTCCATGTTAATAAAACTAACTTGTCTATAAAGATAAACATAAAACTGTCTAATTTACATAGCAAAAGAGGAATAATTTTAGGAGATGAAAGTAAATTTACAAGTCAATAAGAGCAAATTCAAATGTACAAATTTGAATATAAAAGGTAACTACAATGATTTCTTTTCTATAGTTTACACAAAAGTGTTTTTTTGATTAAAATCACAAGGACATAGAATGTCTTTTCCTCTTTTTATTAACATCAGTAATTATGCACCGTATGTTTTATTTAATGTTTTATGCCATGACAGATTCCTTGCTTATACAAATTCATTAGAAAGAAAAAAAATCTTTCCACACATTTTAGAACAGGCTTTTTGTCAGAGTTTTCCAAAGTAAATTCAATGTTGCTGCCATATCTGGTCTGGTGCTACTGCTTTATATCTTGATTTTCTTGACAAAATTCAAAAAGTGCTCTGTAATGTTATTGATCCTGACCTAGAATCGCAATTCCATTTCCCACTGCCATGATATGGCTTCTTTCTGTCTTTTCTGTAAATATTTTCATTGTAAATCTTCTAATGAGCTCTCCTCTATAGTACTTCAGTTGCATGAATTTAAATATCCTACTAGATTAGCAGCTAGGTCTCATCATTTTACTATTGGAATAGCTAGTTGTAACCATACGTTCTATTCTAGCAGTTTCTTTTCTCACACTTTTTACTTGTGGAACTCTCTTCTGGTTTCTTCCACTGACAATCTTAAAAAACTTAATGATATGTAAATTGCCATCTTTTGTCTTGCTGAAATATTTTCTTTTATTGTCCTTTCACCTAATTAGTCTTTTTCATTCTCTTTCCCAGTAACCCTTTGTGTCTTAGTGGTATTATTAAGTTAAATTCCTACCAGGGCAGCCATTTTAATTTAAGATTTATATATATATATATATATATATATATATATATATAGATATTGATAATATTAGTGGTAAATATACACATACATATGCAATCATATATCTAAAATATATAAATATATATACATACATACATACATACATATATATATATATATATATATATATATATATATATATATATGTATGTATAAAAAATAATTTCAAGAGGATAGAATCCAGGTAGAACTCAATGTCCAGGACAGAGTAAGGATATAATAAAAAGGCTTAAACACTAATATTCCATGGTCATAATTTATTCCATTGGAATCGTAAATACGATCCAATTCATCAGACCTACAAATTCAAAAAGAAAACAGAAAAAATAACTCCGGGAATAAAAAATAAAATTTAGTGAGAGTTTATGTATGAGAGTGTGGGACGAATGTTAGAGTAAATGAAAGCTATAGGGAGGGGTAACAGATGAGAGAAGTATAGGAAGGTCTAAAGATGAAGTGGGGATTAAAATTTAACAGAGAGAAGTTTTAAAGAGGTGAATCAAAGACGGTTTAAGTGAGAGAAATATGAATATTCTCGGATGTCTCATACATTAAAGATACATTGGAAAAGAGTATACATTTTTTTGTGACATATACACACAATATACGATATAATCTTAAAGATCAGAAGATGAGAGAGGGAGAGGAAAAGAAGAGAAAAAAGGGGTGGGGGAGAGAGATGGGGTGGGGGAACTAAAACCGAAGGGCATTTATAAAAGGGCTGCTGTGTAATCAAGAAAATTTGACAAAAGTAATATCGACTACAGGTTACAAATCTAATATAAACATATAAAAAAATATAATGATTATCTAATCTAGCAAGGACCTATATTTCTATGTTAAAAAAACATACGTATACACACATACACACCAACATATTTATATTTACATGTACATACATATAGGCGTGTACACACATACCAATACATATACATCTATATATATATATATATATATATATATATATATACATACATCCATAAACATCCACTCCTACATATATATACATTTACACACATATATACATACGGACAGACTCATACGTGCACATCCTACTTATTATAAAACGCAGGTAGCATGTGTGTGTGTGTGTGTGTGTGTGTGTGTGTGTGTGTGTGCGCGCGCGTGTGTGTCTGTTCGTTTATATATGGGATCGGATTTCCTACATTTTTCAACCGATTTCAACAAAACTTCACAGAACTACGTAAAATTACCCGGCAGTGGTTCTGACAGCGCCAAAAATTGGAAAAACACAATTGTTTTTGCACGAAATCAATTTGAAAGCACAGGTAAGAGCCATTTATGCAGATTTTTTGCAGTCTTTGGACGATGTTTTGTTACCGAGCCACCAAAACAAAGCAAATCGTCCAGTTTCTGATAGCACTAACGCTTGGCTATCTAACAAGTACCAAATTGTTTGCAAGAATGTCAAAGCCGCTTGACCAGGGAACCATAAACGGGGGTACCAAGGGACAGGATTTAGCCCTCTGAATACACATTCACTGGCACAGTATGTACAGTTTTGATTTGATTCAAATGAAATTTATGACAGTCTTGCGGCTTACTATCGCCTTTATGTGTGTCAAATTTCAGAATTTTTCAGCAAAAATAACCGTAGCTGCACGCGGATCAATCTTTTTTGTAACTTCCTTACACACACACAGCTGCGTACAACTGCAAGCCCATTGGTCGCTTTCACAGAGCTTGACCTTGGGGCCTGTCCAATCATCGCGCAGGATTTCTCACACGTTATAACGCCCGTGTGATCACGCGTCAGCTTATGTGTAAGTTCGCTCAAGGTCAACCACCTCTATTGCGTGACTCGGGCGTGCTTTCACACTTTTGCGTTTATTGTTGCCCGCGTGCACGCACTTGGCTTACTTTATTCACCTACTTCGGACACCGCAAGTTGTTGATTATGTGTTCCAGCTGCTTTTTTGTTTTATAGTTCCAACCCAACCCCACACACGTTAGCCAATTGTACTAAAAGCCCATTTCCTTTTGGATTTGCCCTTGGTTTACCTTTTTAAATTTCCACTTTTTTAGTTTCGAGTTCCCCTTTAGTAACATTTGAACTCATTTTACTGGGTGTTCCTCTTTTTGTGTCTACGTTAGCAGTGCACGTTTTTTTCGTTTTGGATTTGTCGAAATCTCTTTTTAAGCTTTACCCTCTTTGACGTTTTCACTGTTTGGATGCCACCTAAAAGGAGGAAACTTTTGGGACGGCGCACGGCAGCTGCCTCCGCTGCTAGAGCAGCGAGGGCGAGTGAAACCCCTGAACAGACTTCTTTGTGTCTTTCACAGATGGCCTCGAGCTCAGCTGCTCGCTTATCCATGGAAAGCGCCGCTGCGAGGACTGAAAGGTTGGCTTCAGCGGCTTCAACTATGTCCGCACGCCGCGCCAGGCTTTCAGTGGAAGAACGTTCACTTCAGAATTCACAGGATGCAGTCCGCGTGGCTAGGTTGAGGGCTTCACAGTCCCCAGCACAGAAAACCCTTCGTCGTTTGCCTGATGCCACCGCCAAAGGTGGTAAACATATATACATAAAACCTTACACATCTCCATACAATTACATACACACACCCATCTAAACAAATAAACAATATATCCCTCTATCTATCTGTCTAACTATACATACATACATACATACATACATACATACATACATACATACATATACACTCATATACAGTGGGGGGAAATAAACTTTCGTACACTTGAAAAATTGTATTTTTATAAATAAAACAAATCTCGGCACATTTTATGTATAAAGACACATACTATTAAAAAATAATAATAAACTTAATTAATTCTTATTCTAACAGAAATTAATGCATTTTTAAAATTCTAACTGGTGAGATACACATCTACCTACATATACATACATCCATATATATATATATATATATATATATATATATATATAATTATTTATTTAAAAATATGATTCCAACATGCTACATAAGAGTTCTCATGTTTCAAAACAAGAGCTGAAAACTTCAATATAATTATTTGAATTAAAGTACTAAGCTCTGTTACATCTTCAAGCGAAATTTTTTTGGAATAACTTATTTCTGAAATTTACGTGTTTTATAAGTATATTCATTATTGAAATCAAAGTTTCTATGGTAACGGATTATTTACCTAACAAGTTCTTTCCTATTTTCTATATATTTCTCACATATATATTTTATATATACACATATATACACATATACATGCATGTACACACATATACATATCTATATATAAATCAAAATGTAAAATTTAAAAAATTTTGTCTCAAAATCAAAAAATGAATAAAAAATGAATAAAAAAAAAATTTTGCAAAATAAAAAAATTTAGCGGACCATATCCATCCATATATACATTTAACATATAAAAATATACTGGTGGAATTAAATTAATTTATAGTTCAAGAACATTGAGGAAGACAATGTTAAGAATATAAAAAATATTAAAAACCAGTTGAGTAATTTATGATATATATATATATATATATATATATATATATATATATATATATATATATATATATTATATATAATTCATCAGTCTAGAAGAAACCTCAACAGAATGCAGAAAGCACTGGACGGCCGTTTCGTCCTATATTTGGGACTCATCAGCAGTGCGCATCCACTACCGAGAATTGAAACTCGGACAGTTACATTGATAGGCAAATGTCATACCAACTGTACTAACAGCCTCGGTGACGAAGAGGTAGCGAACGAGACTCAATATTGCGCCGCTTGTTCACATATTCCGTGGTGGAACTCATCCAAGTTCCTTTACCCATAGGACTGTGCCTCTGAGAGCCACGGCTACCATCACCAAGCCGCTCCATCCAGAGCATTAGAAACTGGTTCAAGCAAGGATATACAATTGATAGAAATTAAAGAGGATTTGAGATAATTAAGTAATTCTCTTCATCACCTTACTAAAGTTACTTCCACCACCTTAGTACCATTAGACATCACTGTGAAGTATAGCTTCACCAGACTAGGTGATGTTTCTGTAATTTCCATAGCAAGTATGTTTTTTATACTATTGTTTACCCAATATAAAGCCCAAGAGCCACTCAAGGTAGAGGGTCATTGAATGAGGTTTTTGCAAGGGTATACAAGTAGCTCGTGTAAGAGGTGCATATTATAAGGATATGGAGGACTGATAATGGTTGACCCTAGGCTTGATGATGTTAAGATTGTAATGATTGGAGAAGCATCATCTTGGTAGTCAGTTCTAAAACATAACATCTTTTGAGAAGATGTCGTCTCACTCTTTATAGAGTGAAGTTGCCAGATGCACTTACAACAAATTTTAAATTCAAATTTTAGATTGGTTGCCAGAAAAGTCTAGAGGGTTCAGTTTCCCATGCTATTTAACCCATAGCTGGGGAGAAGAAAAGGTGGATTCATACCTTTCTCAATTGTACCTGTGTAAAGGTGAATATAATGAACTTGGTTGGAACTTGAACGTAGTACATTGATTATAATTTTTGTAGTAATCATATTTATGCTAGGAATACTAAACTTGAAGTACTTTGCTATATAGTGATGGTCAGTGAACTAGTCTTGCAGCTTCTCCGTGCTTTAATAAGTTTCATTCTCAGTGGGTGTTCTACATATTTTCCAGACTAATTTAAGCTTAGCAAATACTTATCACTTTAAAGAATCTATCCAAAATGGTGACTCACTATTGAATAGCTATTACATAAATGTAAATTCCATTTCAAGGTTCCAAAGCTGCAAATTCAAGGCTCAGTCTAAATGAAGGTTTTTATAGATATATCAGAAAGAGTAGACTTGAAACAACAGATCCATATACTGAGGTATCTGAGCTGTTTATTACCTTGGCATAGGGATCATTTATACCAAATTTAGCATAGGATAAAAAGAAATTGAACATAGAATAAGCTGTGCCAGAGGTAGTTTTACCAAACACTGCAAATTATTACAAAACCAAAACATCAACCTGAAAACTTGAGTCATGTTCTTAAATCACCTCATCAGATCAAGACTTTCTAAAGGATGTCATGCATGGCGTTGAACCCATTCAAAAATATTTAAACTGTCACCTGCATATAACCACTCTTGATGATCAATGATGAAAAATTACTTAGAGTGAGTGAAGCCTGTGGGTCATGGCAAAGATCATTCTTCTTTAAACATTGTGGGGTGGTGCTACAGATTCACAAAGAACTGCACCAAATAAAGAACCTACATCATTTGAGAATTACCAACAGTGCCATCAACTAAAATGGACAGCACATGTAAGTCAAAGAGAAAATAATGAGATAATCAAGAATATAGCTATAGTATTGTATACAAATTAGATAGACAAGTATAAATAGAGAACAACTGGCGAACATAGGGAAGAGCGATACTTAGCAAACCCAGTTGCTATTCAGGACACAGAGAACTGTACTACAAGTACAGGAGAGATATGCAAAACATAACAATAACATCCTACACCTCTTTAAATAAAAGGTTAGGAAGGAAACTCCCATCAATACTGGAAAGAGCAACTGGACTCGAGATATCTGTTTTCCTAAAAAATAATTTTAAAAGAAAGATTTTATAAATTTCAACCAAAAGCAGTACTGGCTGCTTGGTTAATGAATGCCAAATGTTTAATTCTAGGGAAATGTCCAATATTACCAAAACAAATGATTGCTGAGATTACGATGAACAAATTATGTGAACAACAAAAAAGTTTTAAGGAAAAGAGTAACTATAAGGAAACATACAATCAGAAAGGGATAGCTGAAATTTCTGAGGTACATAATGAGAAAAAGGGGCTTGGAGAATCTAACACACATACTGAAACAACAAATAAACAACTTAACAAGATTGAGTGAATGAATGAAAGTAGGTGGACAAAAGATGTTAGTAAAAGAACAAAAGTTCCTGAGAGCAATAACTGATAAGAAATTGTGAAGAGTTGTAATTGTCCATGTCCAGACAGAAAATGGCACATAAAAGAATAATATATTCTTCTCAAAAAGTTAATTAGTTGTAAACAGAATTCAGTTTGAAGAAAACATTTCAAAATATCATGGAATAATAAAGCTCCAACTAAATAAAAGCCCTCAACAACTAAAAAACAAAAGCAATAAAAAACTTGAACACACGCTGAACACATTTTTAGAGGTTTCCTTTTTCATTGTGCAGATAATGATTATGTTTAAGATAAGATGATATTCAAGATAATTTCTAAAACAGCCAAAAAGATTATTAAATATTAATTATTAAAATATAAACACACAGTCAAAAGATATTAAGATATAAACAATCAAAAAGTTGAGATATTAAAATATAAGCAGCCAAAAAGAAGAGATATTAAATTATAAGTAGTCAAAAAGATGATATTAAAATACAAACAGTAAAAAAGATGAAATATTAAAATATAAGTAACCAAAAAGATGATATTAAAATACAAACAGTAAAAAAGATGAGATATTAAAATATAAACAGTCAAATAGATTAGACATTATGAGATATTAAAATAAAAAATCTACAGAAATATTTCAAATTCTTAAAGATAAATACCAGAAGAGCAAGTCATGATGTGATTTGGAAGAGGATCCATCTCAGTTGCTGGATGAAATGTCAAATATATAATTTCCAGTTAACGCATTTAGATATTAAAATATAAAAATTGATCATTAATTTAAATCCTTGGAGACCAATTCCAAAAGAGCAAGCCATGTTCTCATTTGTCAGAGGATTAATCCTAATCATTTGGCTAAACGTCAGTTGCAAAATGAATTCTCTTATCAGATAAAATCATTCCTAGACTGGCTAAAATTATACTTGGATACAAACAGAATCAATCTTTCAGCACTTTTTAATTCATCAAATCTAAATTCTAATGTCCAACATTTTTTCATGTGTATCCATTTTTGTGTGCAGCCTTTATCTATATGCTCAGGATGCATGGATGGCGTAACGGTCAGTGACTAACTAAGTTCATTATTTTTCACAAATATCCTTAGGAAAATTATCAATCCATACCTGCCCCCCAGATATGGATTAAATAGTAGGGTTAACTGCATTCTCTAGGATTAAGGTGGCAACCAGTTTAAGAAAAAATAAACTGAATCCCCAAAAAAGTTTTAATGGGCTCCATCAAGGTTGCCATGGTTGCAGTATATGCAGTGACTGTTGGCCACTAATGAGCAGCTGAACTTGTGACATGCATGTGACTATATGTTCCACAGTTTTCTTAGTAATCAAGTGAGGTCCTGTTTTTTTCTATATTTTTGGTTTGTTTTATCATCATCAAAACATTCTAGCAAAACATTGCTAGAGATAAGATAAAAGCAAATCCATTGCTTTCTTAGTCAAAATTTTATGCTAACTAGCCTTCTTGCCACTGATTGCACCTTATAAGTTGGTTCTAGTGTCATGCTAGAAGATTTTACTTGCCTGAGTCCATCGTTCAAATCTACAGATCAACCATTCATCCTTGCATGGAATACTCCTGCTATATATGGTCTGGTGCACCCACTGTGCATCTCAAGAGACGGATATGCAATGTCATAGGTCTTGATCTGGCACCTCATCTAGAGTCACTTTCTCACAGACATGTTGTGGCTTCCCTCTGTCTTTTCCACAACTACTTTTTTGGAAACTGCTCTGACAAGCAAGTCTCACTGGTTCCCAAAATGCATGAATTTAAGTGTGCTAGTAGGTTGGCAAGCCGGCCCCACTCTTTCGTTGTTGAAACAGTTAAATGTAGCCGTCTCTTCTACTTCAACAGCTTCTTATCTTGCATTTCCCATCAGTAGAAGTCCCCCTTCCTATTTGCTTCCCTGATAGCTATAATCTTCAAATAATCAAATGTAATGTCAATCGACATCTTCTGATGCTTTGATCTTGATCTCCATCCTTTCCTTTATCCTTTCCCCAAACACCCCTCTTTACTCTTGCTCTCACTCTCTTTAACCCCTTCATGCTAGTGGCACTCTTGCCTTGCTTGGGGTGATATGCTTAAAATATATATATATATATATATATATATATATATATATATATATGGTAACAGTAATGATGTAGTTAGCCATTCCCTTATAATGAAACATTTTAAATTCAATGATTGAGCAGTTAGAATTAATACTGTTGAACTTTATAAAATCTCCCTTAAAAAAATAGGCTTATCAAGTTCACTGTTATAGCCCTTTCTAGTATTGACAGAGGTTTCTTTCCTAACATTTAGGGTAATGTTGAAAGTCAATGTCTTGATTATCCCATTATTTTCTTATTGAGTTAGATGCTCAATCCATTTTAGTTGTTGCTACCGTTGAAAGTCTTCAAGTGATATGGTTTCTATTATTTGATAAAGTTTTTTGTTTTGCATTCTTTAGCACCAGTATTTATTAGCATGGCCAGTGTCAGGTTTTGTGGGCTGCCGCCAAATCTAAAATATGGATTCCCTCACACATGCTACAAACACCTCAATTTTCATAAGTTAGTATTCATATAAAACAGAAACTTTATTGTAACCTAATTATGTACAATAATGGATCATATAAAATATAGGTTTACAATTCAACCAGAAACACTGAAAATAAATACAATGTATCTAAATACCAATTAAGGACATGTCATAATAGATCATTCCATCTTAAATAAGTCAACAATGTTTTGCAGCAATTTTTAACATTAACTTGAGAGTTTTCTTGTTAAAAAGTTGAATAATTTTAATTTTAATACATTCAACATTATGGATAAAAAAAATAGTGAATTTTACATGGTGTTTTTTGAGACAACATGAGCAAAACCAATTCACAGATTTGGACAAATTAGAAAGATCCCAGAATGATGCCAAAATCTGAACTACATCTTAATTTCTATAAGGTAGTATTCATATAAAATACAAATTTTATTGTAACCTAATTATGTACAATAATGGATTATATGCAATACAGGCCTACAATTCAACCAGAAACATTGAAAATAAATACAATATATCTAAATACAAATTAGCGACATGTCATAGCAGATCATTCCATCTTAAATAAGTCAACAATGTTTTGCAGTAATTTTTAACATTAACTTGAGAGTTTTCTTGTTAAAAACTTGAATAATTTTTACGCATTCAATATTATAGATAAAAAATATTGAATGTTATATAGTAATTTTTTGAGACTTAGCATGAACAAAACAAATTCACAGAGCAAAGAAACAAACTCAGAATGATGTCAAAATTGAAAAACATTTTTTATCTTTTAATACTAATACTTAGTTGTGCTTAGATTAATTTGTAATGTATATAAATGTGTAATTAGTCTGTAGTGAAAATTACTGAAGTCTTTGTCTTCTCCGTCTTCTGCTCATTCTTACACGGCAGTCGACACTAAAATGAACAACACGTGTGTCTTTCGCACAACTCGACACCTGTTTTTCACCCTTACCCTCACAAATTCTCAGCTTTTATGCCCATGAGGCATACACTTATGCAAATGAATACGGGCCTCACTCCCAGTCTGGTCGCACATGTGCACTGCCATTTTTGTGTCCACCGCCATGGCGTTTGACGAGGCAAATGTTCACTCATTCATTTGTTACAAAATATAGGTAGAAAAAAATGTTGATAAGAGTGAGGGTCACAATGCTGTGCTTGGGATTCAAAATCAGGCTTGACATCCCCCTCAGTTGTGGGTTTCAGAGTAGTACACACCAGCCCTGTTCATTAGTAACATGATTTAAATCTATGTTCTTCCATATGAAGATTTCTGAGAAATGCTCAAATATGATTGAATTTATATGAAGCTTCTTTGAATATATGATTTTAGATTTATCAAGAACACTCTCACCACCTTTTATTTAAAAATGAAAAAAATTCCAATTATTAAAGCTGACTTAAGACTAAATTATTATTTTTTATATTGTTTTGAGAAGTTTTTATTGCCATAGTGAAATTGGAGTCAGCATATTTTTCCTGTCTTTGACTGAAATTGTTTCTGACTTTGGTACAGACATCGAAGCCAGGTTCTAGAGAAAGAAAGAGACGAATGAATGCATAAACAGTTCTTTTCTTATTTTTATTTCTGATATCCTTTGAATGTTGTTTTATTTAAAAACATGAAGATAAAAAAAAAATTTGGAGTAAGAATAGAAACTCAATGAAATAAATAAATACAAGAGTAAGAGATACAAAAAAAAGCAAAATAAAAAAAATGATACAAAATTATGAAAATTAAACAAAAAAATGAATTATAGGAAAAAAAAATGAAAGATGTATGAATGACATATAATTATATAAAATTAAATAACACATACTGACTTTTCAAATTAGCAAAATATCTTTGGTCTCAAAGAAGGATTCAATTAATTGATAATCTGTGTTTTTTTTATGTTCAGTTACTCATTTTTCAATTGTCATATTTAGACTAATTTTTATATAATTTGTTTCTCATATTGAAGTTTAACATAAAAATTGGGTTTAATTTGTGCTGTTATTTATTTTAATTGGTTACATTTCTGATTTTAGATTCACATACTTTCTACAATAAAGATTTAGAGTGACACCTAATAAATATTTACAATGTAAATGAAAACAAAGAAAGAAATCTAATGTAAAAAAATAATGCAGGAAAAGAAAGATGAGCAAATACAGAAGAAAAACTAAGTGCACTGAATGAGAAGGAATAAAATTAGAAGTGAATAAAAAAGAAGAAAAATTAAGGGAAATAATGTAAAAGCAATGGTACCAAATAAAAAAGGAAAGCTAAGAGAACAAAAGAAAGAAGGGAAAATACGGATAAAAAGGGAAGAAAAAGTGAGTGAACTGAACAAAGATGGAAAATTAAAAGTACATAAAAAGAAAGGAAAGTAAGTGAAGAAAAGAAAGAAGAAAAACTAAGGGAACTAAAGGAAAGCTAAGTTAACAAAAGAAAGAAGAAAAAATATGGTTACAAGAGAAAGTTGAAAAAGTAAGGGTACATAAGAAATGACAAAAAATAAGGGTACAAAAGAAAGAAGAAAAAAGAATAAAAGTAAGGGTACAAGATAAAGTTGAAAATATAAGGGTACAAGAGAAAGTAGAAAAAGTAAGGGTACAAAAAAAAGAAGAAAAAGTAAGGGTACAAAAGAAAGAAGAAAAAAAGAATAAAAGTAAGGGTACAAGAAAAAGTTGAAAATGTAAGGGTACAAGAGAAAGTAGAAAAAGTAAGGGTACAAAAGAAAGAAGAAAAAGAAAGGGTTTAAAAGAAAGAAGAAAAAAGTAAGGGTACAAAAGAAATAAGGAATTCTAACAGGAAAAAAAAGGGAAAACAAATAAATCAAAGAAAGAAGGAAAACTAAAAGAACATGAAAAAAAGAAAAGTAACAAAATAAAGACAGAAAACAAAGGGAACAAAAAGAAAAAATGCTTGAACCAAATGAAGAAGGAAAACAAAGACAATAAAAATAAAAGGAAATGCAAATGACCTAAAAAAAGGGAACAAAAAAGAAAGAAAACAAAATGAATGAAATAAATAAAAAATAAGTAACCAAATGAAGAAAGAAAATGGAACCAAATAAAAAAGGAAAAATGAATCAAATAAAGAAGGAAAATTGAACCAAATAAAGAAGGAAAATTGAATCAAATAAAAAAGGAAAATTGAACCAAATAAAGAAAGAAAATTGAACCAAATAGAGAAGGAAAATTGAACCAAATAAAGAAGGAAAATTGAACCAAATAAAGAAGGAAAATTGAACCAAATAAAGAAGGAAAATTGAATCAAATAAAGAAGGAAAATTGAACCAAATAAAGAAGAACAAATGAAACAAATAAAGAAGAACAAATGAAACAAATAAAGAAATAAAAGGGAACCAAATGAAGAAGGAAATATAAGCCAAATAAAGAAGGAAAATGGGAATAAAATAAAGAAAAGCTAAATAAAAAATAAAGAAGGAAAACTAAATGAAAAAGAAAGAAGAAAATTAAGTGAGCAAAAAAAAGGAAAACTAAATGAAAAAGAAAGAAAGAAAAGTAAATAAGCAAAAATAGAAGGAAAACTCAATCTTACAAAAATAGAAAAATAAAAATAAGAAACAGGAAATAGTAAAAAAAAATAAATGAAATTAAAACAAAGATGACAAAAATGAAAATGGAAACAGGAGAATTGATAAAATCAAGAAAAATCCAGGAATGCTTAATAATTATTGAAAGATCAAATAAAAATAAAAAGAGTAGAATAGCCTTTGTGGATAAATGGGGAAGAGAAAACTGTTCAGCAATCCTGAGAGTAGGAAAAGCTTAATTAATAAAGAAGGGAAAGAAAACTCAACAGTTGATTCTAACAATGAACTGCCATTTAGAAAAATATCATATTATCAAAGGTTTTATTCATCTGTTTACTTTCAGAATGACAAAATGGAAGAAATTTTGAGATTATCAAATTCATAAGAAAAAATAAATTTTGAATATTGCAATAAAATCAGTAAATAATATGTGACCATCATTTTTTATTTTCTTCTAAATCTTAAGTATCACTGTACTCAAAATGACTACAGTTAAAAAAAACTCCTACATCCGTCTAAATTGGTTCTTAAAAAGTAGCTAACAGATATTGATAAAAAAAATACCAGCAAGAAAAAACTTAATAAAATCATACTAAAAATATTTAGATAAAAAATATTTGTCTTCAGAATAAACAAAGATTTACTGTATTTTCTTTATTAATGACTGTTTTCTTTTACATATTTCAAGAATCAGCAAACTTTAGATTTGAATTGAGAAATATTTCCCATCTTTCCTTTTGTATGCAGAAAAGTATGTCACAAAAAAATCGGGGAAAAATTTTGCCTGCTTCTTGAAATTTTAAAATTAGCCAAACACATAGAAAGATAAAACTTCACAAAAGCTGAAATGAGATAAAAAAAGTCTTTAACTCATTCTGTCAGAACAATTTTGATACACAATTTGAACTATTCAGACATCATTTATTCACTCAGGTCTTTCTTTCTTTTTTTTAATAAAAAGATACAACCAACTTGGGAGAGAAGCACAACAAAGCTATTTTTATATGTTATCAGAAATGACAGTGATCAAGCAAAATCAATGATAAAAATAAAATTTATTTATATGAAACAAAATTTAATAGAATTGAATGGTTTATTGTGGCGGCTACTAAAGTCTTATCTGACGCCTGGGTTTCAAACTTTTCAAAATACAGAATTAAATATTTAAAAAAAAAACTGAAATTAATATAATTTCTCTATCTTCAGTTCTATCTATATAAAAAGGTTTCTAAGTTTTGTTTTTTCTGTAAGTTTTGGCTGTGCAAGAATTATCTCCCTTACATAAGCAGTGCTGGATTGCACCAAGATATTTCCAAAGAAGTTAAAAGAACAGTTCTGTCAGAGAACAGATTATAACAATAATAACTAGAAAAAAAAAGGATTGTTTTAAAAATAAATGCCTCCAATTCTAATATATTTATCATGTATATGTTGATTTTGGTGGTATGATAGTAAAGGTTGAACAAAAATGCATAATTACTTTGCCTTGTTATGGATTCCAACTGAGCAGTTGTTGGGTAAAATGCTATCTGGTATGAAACTGTATATGAAGCAAAAGTCTGCTGGTGAATTCTTCCATGCAAAAAAAAAAAAGATTTTACCCATTGATACCCACTGATGCTTGCTGAATGATTACAGCAACCAAACATTGAATGTGAGCACAGTTATATGTTAGGTGAAACATTTTATTAGTGGTGAGTATGATGCATCTGACAAGATATACTTCAGGTGGAGTGCTTCGGGTGGCCTTGCTCAACTCACAACTGATGAAATAACTTCTTCTTCTTCATTAATAGTGTTTTGCAGCTGAAAACGTCACCTGTTTTACTCTTTATAGCTATAATGAGTTTTATGGAAATAAGCTAGTGGGATTTTACTTTTGTAGTAATTTTTCAAACATATATATATATATATATATATATATATATATATATATATACTAGCAGCATGGCCCAGCATTGCCTGTGCTTGATTCAAAAATCGTACGACTCATACAGCAATTGCTATCACTTGACTTAAAATATTTTTGCCCTTCCTTGCTTTTAAAGGAGTGCCCTTTGCCGTGCTGATGTTGCTACATGCTTTACTTCTTGCCTATCTCACACTGTGAATTTTTTCTAAGCTCTATACTAAACATTAAATCTGTTACAAAAAAAGAAGTAAACAAAATGAACACAAAATGATCAGCTTTAAAAAAGGACTTGTAGCAAATACTTTTTCACACCCAACCCAGTTCTTCAGAATCAGAATCAACATTGAGTTTAAGCAAGTGAATGAGCCAATTGGAGTAAAGTGCCATGCAGATTTTAATTTTTCCCACTTGTGACGAATGCAGCTATCGATTTTTTTTGCATGCTAGCATGCTAGTTAACATTCATGTCAGTCAGCTGTTGGCTCTCATGCTGGCCAATAGAATCTTCCTCCCTATTCGTGGCAGCCAGCTATAGGCTCTCACTCTGGCCAGTACAAAATGGCCACAAACTACATGAAAACTGCCATAGAAGCATGAAAAAATTGATTATTTCCACTATTGATGGGAGTTGGGAAATGCAAAGTTGGTCTTGGCCTTCCTACTAACTTGGAGCATGTGCATGTAAATTTTGTTGGAAATCCACTGAAAATTGCGGCCATGCATTCGTTACACACACACACACACACACATCCTGCCTTTTATAGATATATATATATCCGATGCGCACTGCTGATGAATCCCAAATATAGGATGAAATGGCTGTCCAGTGCTTTCTGCATTCTGTTGAGTTTTCTATCAGACTCAATGAATTAATTAATTATAATTATCAAATCCTCCTAATAATTTCTATCTGTGTATATCATTGCTTAAACTGGCTCCTAATGCTCTAGCGGATTGGTGAGAGTAGTCGTGGCTCCAGGGGGCACAGTCCTATGGTTACAGAGAATGCAGTATGGTTCCACCACGGAATATGTGACCGAGGCCCATTGGAACAGTTGGTATGATGTTTGCTTGACAACCTAACTGTCAGGGTTTCAATTCTCGGTAGTGGATGCGCACTGCTGATGAGTCCCAAATATAGGACGAAATGGCCGTCCAGTGCTTGCTGCATTCTGTTGAGGTTTCTATCAGACTCAATGAATTAATTAAATATATATATATATATATATATATATATATATATTACAAAGAAGTAATCATCCAAAGAATTAATCAGTAAAGTTAATGTAATTAATAGCAAAATCACTTCGCCAACAGATCAATAAAATATTAACTTACTAACGTCTCTCTGAATGACATGATCCTTATGTTGAAAATTATGAGATGGATAGATTTTCTGTTACAAGTATTTTCGAATAAATTCGCTCCTTCATCATTGGGTATTAATACTGTTTTCATTTCAGGTAAATTTCCAAGATGAAAATAAATGTATTGCAAACCAAAATATGTTCTGTTGTAATACTTCAGTCTGTAACATGGTATGACATCACAGAACTACATCTTGAACTTATGATCTGCTATTTCGTGACCGTTAACTTCTGTCAAAATAAAAAAATATCATCTTTGACAGTGGATATCTTTGTTTCACATCTGTATAACCACTATGAGGATGGCTTATGTAAGTAAAAAGGTTAGGACTAACTAAATAAAAAATATCCAAATGTTGGACAATTTTTGTTTTTATTTTCACCAGAAATTAAAGCAAACATTCGAAGATTTTTTCCCACAGTAGATTGCCATTTCTTTGTGCGGTAGACCAGCTGTCATCCAAGGCTATAAAACCCAGTCTGACTTGCTATTTATCTATAGCTGGAGGGAGAAGAAGAGGATTCATACCCTTCCCAAGGGTATTAGCATGTAAGTAAATGTAATGGATTTGACTAGAATTCGAACTCGGCTCTCCGATTCCTCCATCCAAGACACTATCCATTTCACCACCATATAGTGTTTGATGTTTGGTCATTTGAGTCAGATTTTGAGTGAGCATCATCCTATAAACTTTTCAGTACACTCATGTGTGTGTGAGTGTGTGTGTAGTAACATGTCAGAGTAGTAATAGAAATCATTCACACTTATAAAATGTGATATGTGTGTGAAAGAGAGAGAGAGAGATTATGATATATGAATTTCTATATATCTGAACAATGTTAGACAATTGAATGACAAAGTAGAAGCATTCTGTGCAATGTGTTTCGGTCCCTAGAAGGACTTCATCAGATGGAATTATAAATGCATAGGAGGGGTTATATATCACTCATGTTTACATCTTCCCACCCTACACATGTATAATTCTATCAATAAAAACATTAATTAATAGTTCAATGAAGTCCTTCTAGAAGATGAAATACATTACACAGTATATTTCAACTTTTCATTTAACTGTTTCATATATATATATATATCTATATATATTTGGTTGGATAGATGTGAGTTTGTGACCCTGGGTTTCACGCTTTAGTCAGTGACGATCGCTAAAAGCGTGAAACCCAGGGTCACAAAACTCACATCTATCCAACCAAATATGTTACTCTATCTCTGATATTGAACGCTTTCTAATAAGTACCAAGACATATAATATATAAATAATTATACATATATATATTTATTTATATTTATATACACTTTTTATATATATATATATATATATATATATATATATATATATATATTCACTCATACATACTGGATGTAACAGCAAAATTATCCTATTGTTAGATTAACCTCTCAACCGATATATCTTAGAAATGATTAAAGATATCTTACTGAAATTCTCCAAGGTTTTTATGACACTATTGGACTCTACTTTGAGCATTGAGAATGTATAATTACTCTCTAAGCTTTATAGAAGTATTGTGATAAAATCAATCATAAACAAAAATAACATGTTCATCATTAATTAATCATAGTTAAGGATCAGAAGCTTCTGAAGTATTGAAATAAAATTCAAATATATATATATATATTATCTCAGGCTCATTTTCCGACATACTCAAGATGATCTTCGCCCTCTCCTACCTTCTAACTTTCTGTTCTGGAGTAACATGCTGACTAAGAGGTTTCATGTACGATTTCATTTTCAAGTCTTTTTTCACTGCTCTTTGGACTGTCATAGCTGAAACTCGTTTCTCACATGCCAAACATTTTATGGATTGAGTTGGATCTTTTCTGAGTGATCTCTTTAGATCTAAGTTGAAATGATGATACCTCCTGATCCAGTTTTCCTCTCCACTGATCCCTCTTTTTTAAATTTATTCACTGTTTTCTTGATGGTTCTTAAATGAACTTTGAAGACAGAAGCCAGAGTATGAATGTTGGTATCATTAATGAATGCCTGAATGATCTTAATCCTCTCACCATTGCTCAGTTGGGAAGACATAATGGGGCTGACACAAAACAATTTTAAGCTGTTCTCTTTTTAGCTGAATAACTGAAAGGGTTTTTCAGTGATTTTTATAATAAATGGTATCAAGATGGCTAAACATCTTATCTGAAAACTTGGGGAAAAAAAAACTCAATTAGTTTAGTGGTTATTTAGATATTAAACATTTTGTGGGATGGACAATTATTGCCTGTTGTTCTACAATTTAGACAATTATGCTGTTACACCTGGTATATATATATATATATATATATATATATATATATATATATATATATATATATATATATCAACTTCACCGAGCTCTGTTTGGCTATTGTGGTTTCTGTAGAAAGTAGCCTACCAGCTAGTTTTCAATTCAGAGTTGTTCTTTTATTA